TATAAAAGAAATTGTATCTATTAACTTGAAGATAGATTTAAAATGTTTTCAATTTACTAATCAGAGCTGAACAATATTTTTCTCATAAAAATAATTTTCAATTACGAAAAAGTAAAATTAAAATAAATTTTTGATATTTTTTTAAACAATCTGCACGTAAACAATAAGAGATCCAATATCCGTGATACTAAACACCACTCTTTCGTCTGATATATAAAATTCAATCTTTTTTATAATTATTATTAAAAATATCTTTTTTCTGGTGTTTAAATGCGTTTAGCAAAAAAGAACCGAAAGTGAAACTGCGAATGAAGTGAGTAAAAACAAAACAGTTTTGTGTGTCTAAAAACCAATGCCAGTTGGAAGTCAGTATTTCAGAGTATTTAGCACCTCACATGGTTCGAGCATTTTTCCATTTGATTTTGCAGACTGAATGTGTATCATTGAAAACGAAAGTAAGATAAGATAGAGCTGCGAAAAAATAAAATTAAATTATATAAAGTAAAATAAAGTAAAATAGATATGATAAATCTAAGAGGAATTTAAAGAAATTTTTAGCAACTTTTTAGGTGAAATACTTCAATGTAAATTTGAACAAAGCCTTCAACTTGAAATTGAAATTCAATTACACTTTTTCATGTTTATGTGTCAAATTTAGTTAAGTAGGTTTTCACATTTAACATTTTTAAAATATTTGTAAAGTCAGTGTTACAACTAAACAAAAGGTTAATTGTTTATAAACACACAATACCTAAAATTTCTAAATTTCTGCTTTTTTGAAAAATATAATAGTTTGTAATTAAGGTTCATTAAGTGTGTAATACTGTAACGTATGCATTATTAATCAAATAAAGTATCTATAACTCATTTCCTAACTTACATAATATTATTACTAATGCAACCAAATGCAGTGCAATTGCATAATGCAGAAAGTAAATGAACAATATCTATGCCCTCCGATTTTCTACGCCTACAAATGGAAACTAACAAAAAAGTAACAACAATATTACACTAAGTGCAATATAACAATTGCCTACAAACAATAACAAAAATATGACAACACAGAAAACTCATAAAAAGAAAGGTGCCATTAGTAATGAAAAATGCAGGTTACTGCATAGAAATACCTAATTGTCGCCTTAATCTCAATTACACTTCTTACACGATCATTAACAATGAACTTCAACTATGCATGTAGTTGAAATTCACTGCATGTTTGTTATTTTTGTAACATACCACTTGCCGCTGTTGTGCTGCTGTCATCGCCAAAGAGGCTTTCACTGATATCGTCTCTCAGCCAATTCCAGATGCCACGCACCATACCCCAGACACTCAATGAAGTTGAGTCACTTACTGGCTGCACAGCAGTTTTCTCACCAGATGTTGTTGCAACAGCTTCACTTTCATCGCCATCTTCATCATCGTCATCAGCCTCAGCTTCAGCTTCAGCTTCGTCATCATCTTCATCTACTTCCTCAGATGAAGTAGTAGCTGCATTAGCTATTGTTGCAACTGTTGTTTCATTTTTTGTGGTATTTAAATTAGTCTCAGCTGCTTTGATTGCTGTTGTTTGTTTTGTTAATTTGGCGGCAAGCAACGTATCTGTGTTGCAACAAAAAATCAAAGCAATCAACAAAAGCGCGGCACAATATTGTTTTGTTAGAATCTGTAAAATTGTGAATAAAATAAATAAATATTAAAAATAATTAAGAAATTTTATTTTAAATATTTATTACAAATCAATTTTAAGATAAATAAATTCACTTCATTCCACTTAGTCCAATAAAATATGAATCTATTGCAGTTGAAATGCAACTGGTAGCTTCAAACAGCGCTACTAGTCATCGATTTATTCACGATATTCAAAAGACTTAAGCAACAAACTTACTCACATATTTCTGTGTAATTAAGCAGAAAATATTAAGTGTGCATTTCACATATATATATATATATATATACATTTATTATGTTTATGCTTTAAAAAAATAATGTTTATGGTTTTTTTAGCATTTGATTTATTATATAAATAGTTAATGTTTTCAATAAAATAGTTATAAATGCAATAAAAAGTCATAATAATAGCGCATCTAAAATAATTATCACTTTTATCCATTTAACTCATGTCTTTTTATATGATGTTATAACAGCGCGTACTATGTTGTAATAAGTATTTTTAATATATATAATAATTAGTCAATTTTAATACTTTTAAGTTATTTAATTTTATTTTTATGTTTTTAACGTTTAACCTATTTTAACATTTGTTAACCACCTTTTGTGTATGTGATATTCATACCACAACCTTTGCCAACGTTAAAAACAAGTTTAATTGCTTAATTTGTTAAAAACTTTAAAAAATTTAAATAAAAAGTATATTCATGTGTTTTACAGTTAGTTATTAATATTAGTTTACTTATTAATCTTATTTTATTTAATTTGTTAGACGATTTCAAATGAATGAATGAGTACTTTTATGTTACCGGAAAAAATATTTGCAGCAGACAATTTAAATGATCTACAAGATACTGTTTATTTGATGCATTTGCAGATAACTAATCTTGTAAATATTTATATAAGACATACTTAAGATTATCGTTACTTCACTTTCAAAATATATCTTGTGATCCTAACATGTGATCTTGTCGTTACTTTCAAAATATAACATGTAATCCTAAAACACAAAAATCTAAAGAGAGGTCTTTAACAGTAGTGAATTGCAGCAAAAAAAAAATTATATTATTTTTAAATGTCTCGAGTATTGTCAAATACCCATCATCAGTGGTGTTTTGAAATTATTTCTTATAATTAATTATTCATAAATTATTTTTCGATACTGCAAGCACAAAGGGTTGATCTCGTATCCTGCCAAATTAAAAGCTTAAAAAAATTATTTAGTAATTAAATAAAAGAAATAATTCTAAAAAGCCACTGATGATGGATATTTAGCAATACTTGAAAAAGCTAAATGGTCAACAGAAAATTTAATTCATTAAAAATAATATAATTTTGTTGTTGCAATTCACTACTGTTTGAAACGTCTCTATTAAATACAATAGTTTCTGTTATGTATAATAGTGACTGTCGTCATAAAGGTATTATATTGTAAATTTTAATTTGCATAAATAATTATGCGATAATCCGTGAAACCCAAAGGAACGTAACACTAGTAATGATGACGATATAAATATGGATGGACTAGCAACAGTAAAAGTCGAACTGCGTGACAAATCAAAATTCGAATAAATAATTTTATATAAAAGACACAAAAGATTGTTAAGTATCTTGAATTCGGATAATACCCAAAAATTTCTTACTAAACGCAAGCATTAAAATATCTAAGATACCGAAGATCTTGAGTAAATGAATGGTAAATATTGTCGGAATGTTAGTCAGTAACTCCTGACGAATGTGACATAAAAGCTATAACTCAAAGGGTATAAAGTGCTGGCATATTCACTGAACGCAGATGGTCAAAAAATACACTCAGTGTTGAACAAAGAAGAGCACTTCTGAGAATTGCGTTAGCGAGCCGTACATACTTAAGCGTGTCAGCATTGGTAATTGCAGGAACATTACGAATCAACCTTTTTACAATAGATAGAAGAAAACTATATGGATCAAAATTTACTGAAAACTATATCCACGAAGCGATGAAACAAATAATGGCAAACCAAAATATTCACATGGAAGGAAAGATGGTCTCTTAAAGTACTAGAGATGGGCACCCAAGTTTACAGTAAGTTTAAGACAATTGCTTTAATAAGAAAAAAAGTCTTTGTTTCACATAAATAGAATGACAGTTGATTTTATTTCTGTTGATATAATAGCTTTAGAATATTTTAGTTAACATTAAGATAGGAATTATAACTTCAACTTTAGCATAAATTATAAAAAAGTATTTCAATGAAATTCTAATTCCAAGACATAATATAAGTAAAGTTGGCAAAATTTTACGCTTAACAGTAATATTAAGAACTCAATTGCGTAATCTACAGTTTTTTTAAGAAACGAGTTCCTTTGATAAACCAACTAAACTAACTTAACGTATTATGACCTGATTTAAGCAAGTTTACATTATTGAAAAAAACTTTAACTCCATAGAAACTTGTTTCAAAATATTCTTTTAGTTATAGGTGACGTTGGTCATAAGTTATGGTACTTAATAAGTTATGCCATTGACTTGGCGTTAACATAAAATGTTAACTTGAAATACATTTTAGATATAAATGTTATGATAATGTCTCCACAGAACTACATTTGATGCAATCAAGTCACATTTATTTCTCCATTTTTATTATCACATAAGTTTCATCACATGACTATTGTAGAATTGTTTTTATTTAATAGTATAGACTCATATATAACACAAAAGAAAAATATAAAATATATATATTAAATACTAATATAAATATATATTTTTAAGTACATCCAACTGTGATCGGATAAATAAATTAATGGGCATTTATTGTTTTTTCTTAGTAATAGATCATTTTAAAAATAAAAACAAAACATTTAATTGTATTTGTGAGGAATCCCATAATGTAACTTTTTGCCAAAAGAAACTACTACCAATAGTCATCGTTATCTGCTGGATATTTACGATGACGACTTGATAGCGAAATCAAATTAGTTTGAGTGCTTTGAAATCTTATGATTTTGACATCAAAGCAAAGATCAAGCTGGGAAGCCAAAAAAATGTGAGACAAAGAATCGAAAGTATTAGTGAAGTGAGATGTATATCGAATTCACATAAAAAGCTTCCAAAATCAATACGCGTATCACAAACAGCACACACATACACACATCAAGTGTAAATAATCATTAAGATCTAAAATCTAAGAGTAAAAAAATTGAAT